CCGCGGGGAATCGGGACAGCCCATGAGCCCAACAAGGGCATTCGGAGAAACAGAAGGACCCAAACATAGGCGTGGCTCCATGTGTCAATGGTGTTTTGAAAAATTGTTAGGGTTTTAGGGAAATGCTGACAATAAAAATTAATAAAAACAGACCCTGTGAAGTCTGTAAGGCATAACAGGCCAAGAAAGAAAAAGAAATTGGAAAGAGATAAACTAAAATGCTCATGTTATTCATCTCGGGGTGGTACTATTGTATTTATTCAGTGTTGCTGGTCTATCATGGTTGGTACTATTTTAAATTTCAATTCGCCTTTTTTAATTTTTTATGCATTTTCCAAATGTTCTAAAAGTCACAAGTACTAAAGTGAAATGACACATTTATATGCGCTAATGGCGCAGGGGGCTCTCCCAGGGAAGCGCCGGTGGAGGGGAGGGGGTCTGGGGTCCTGGCTGGCCCCTCCTGGGGCCAAGGCTACTCACCTCAAGCCCCGGGGGCCCCTCGTCTCCTCGGTACCCTTTAGGTCCAACAGGGCCCGCGTCACCCTGCGGAGAGATGGACATGCCCGCTGGACCCTCTCTCTGCCACACCAGCCCTCCCTGGAGGCGCATCACCTGCCCTTCTGGGCCCAAGGTCCGGGTCCCCCGAGCACCTCACAGACAGCCCCGGCCAGGCCGGAGGAAGGAGGACAGGGCACGTTGTTCATGGAGCTGCTGCCCCCACCCCATGCGCCCCGCCGAGACCCTGCACTGAGGCCCTGTTGTCAGGTGGGTGTGTCCAGAAGAGGTCCTTCTCGGACAAGGTCCTTGCAGCCCCCCATGACCCAGCCTGCTCCCTCAACCATGGGCAGCCAGGAGGCAGCGGGCATACTGCTGCTCTCGCCACAGCTACGCACGCGTCCAGCTGCGGCCCGAGGTCCTGGCCCCGGTGCATGGAGGCACGTTGGGCTGCGTCAGCAGAAATAGGAAGGCCAGGGGCATGATACAGCAGTTCCGGAAAGACACATGGATAAGGGATGGAATAGAGGATGAAAGTGCATTGCGATGCGAGAAGCTGTGTTGTGACAACGGGCTTGCTTCTAACCATACAATATCCAGGGGTGGGCAAGAGTAGGTCTACAGTTGTGGTACAGATAATGCAATAATAACATAGTGCAAGAGTAAATTCTGTGATTTGCGTACTCACAGTTGTAAACCTCCTTTTGCTAACTCCTCTATGCTCCAAAGGAATCAAAGATATACGCAGAAAATACAGTAAGAGGGGTGGGCGTATTTGGAATCCTGTAAATGGCAGGACATCCTGAACGACACACACCACAGAGCTGCAAAATGCCTGCAGGCTCATCACAGCGACGTGCGACACAGGCTCCGGCGGGGAAAGGAACAGCCTGGTGAACAGCCGGGTTCGGTGACACCCGGGACCAGGCTCAGCTTTCCCCATAGAGAGGACACGGTTTTCAGCTGAGGAGCTAAAATGCACATTCAGAGTCTGAGACCCATGTTGGCAAAGGTGTGGGTACAGTTTCTATTGTACACTCCCAAGGGGAATGTAAGCTGGGGTTAGACTGACAGACAGGTAGGAGTATTTGGTAACTCTCTCTCTCTCTTTCTCTCTCTCTCTCTCTCTCTCTCTCTCTCTCTCTCTCTCTCTCTCACACACACACACACACACACACACACACACTATTTGGCCAAGAAATTCTGCTCCTAAGAATTTACATTCTGGGTACAGCCTTGGATGTATTTCAAGATGGGTGAAAGGATGGATGGGTGAGTGGATGGAGAGATGGATGGATGGAGAGATGGATGGATGGAGGGATAAATTATAGGCATGGATAGATGATAAAATGATGATGAATAGGTGATAGATAATAGATAATGGACAGAGATGGACAAACAGATAGTAGATGATAGGTAGATGGGTGGCTGGCTGGGTGAATGGGTAGATAGGTAATAGATAATGGATGGGATGATATGTCTTAGATAAATAGCAAAGAAGATAGATCATGGATGGTTGGATGGATGGATGGGCAAATAATGGGATG